CCCATACCCTCCCCCTGCCCTCCCTTCTGCCCTCCGCCTGCCCTCCAGGTCTCACTCTGTCAGAGGACCCCGCTCAGCTGTGACTCCAGGCTCCCCACTTGGCTCCGCCCCTGTAACATAGGACCTGACACTCACTTTTCTTGTGCGGATTGGAGTGCACCCTCAGTGTCCAGCAGTAGTAAGCCCTCCACAAAGGTGGCTTTTGTTGTCACCCCCAGCGGCTTCTGGTGAGGGTCATAGAAGGTGGGGAGGAGGATGGAGCTTCAGTCGCCTTGGGATCTGGTGAGGAAACCACCTTACCCAGAGCAGAAGGGTTAGGGTGCGCTGTGCACACGCACGCCCTGGGCTCTGTCCCTCCGCTCAGGTTGTGCCTGGTTGGTTCTGGGTTTGCGAGGTGTCAGCGCACCATCCGCAAGGAGACAGGAAGAGGGTGAACACCAGGGAGAAAACAAGGCGCAGAAGGGCTATGATAGCTGCGTTCAAGTGTCTAAAGGGAGAAAAATCAGCGAGAAACGGGTATTAGGTTTGGTGGGGGACAGGTGGGGCGGCAGTCAGGTGAGGACCAGTCGGGTGTGAAGGCCTTTCGAACAGCCCACGGTGGACTGGGGGAATGTCTTCTCGGCCGGAGTCCTGACCAGAGGGCCTCCTGCAAGGCCAGCTCAGCACCCCTGGAGGAGAGGCGGTGGGGTCCTGGGGCCGCGAACCCTCTGTCTGGTTCCAGATTCTCTGCCTGGAGGCAAGCTGGCCCCTCCCCCAGCACTACCTGAGTTTGTTGTACACCCAAGGGAAGGCCTTTTCCTTAGAAGGAAGGAAAGTCCAGGGAAGTTGTAAGTAAAATACATCGCCATAATGCAAAAGAAGAGTTCACCTTATTTCCAGATGGATTTACTGTTTGCATAAACAGATCGTCTGGACATACAAACCGTACACACAAAAGGCATCCACATGTGTGTGCTGTTTTAGAGATGCCAGGTTTTCTCATTGCAATTCCCCATCAGATTCCCTCCGTTTAAATTTACTGCATGTTTCTGGGCTGGGTTCCATTGGCCCGCTCATCTCTCTAAAACGCTTTGCAAGCGTAGGGTTGAGAACTCGTGCTGGCAGCAGGCTGGTAGCTCTTGTAAAATGCAGGACTGAACACCTCCAGACGGTGGGAGCGCCTTGGGTCCGGCTTGCATCTTTGATTCTGCGTGCAGTGAGGGGGATGCTGAGCCCTCTGTCTTGATCCCTGGAGTATTGCAGTGGGAGAGTGTTTCTGTGCAGAGAGTACTTTTCCTTGACTCTGCACACACACTGGTGCTAGCCTTGGCTGTCTGTCTGTGGAACGTGTATGTTTCCTGGTGACGCGCGCGCAGAGATATGTAAACCCCTGCGTGGGGTGGCGCCACAGGGCTCACTAGCCCACCTCTTCGGTCTCTTCTGTTTGGGCGAGGCTGCCCTCAGGACTAGCCTTGCTCTTCTATCCTCCTTGGCCTCTTGGCCTCACCTTATATGCTCTTCTGCGTCTGGATCTGATATACCCGTCCTTCCTTTCTTGTCCGCCTGCCTGGGGGAGGGAGGTAGCTGCTTTCTGTGCATATTATGTCTGGGTGACCAAGGTGTCCCCTTCTGCTCTTTCCACACTCTGACACAGGTAGGGCCGAGTCTTTGACTTAAATCCCCTTTACGTAATACTTAACATGGTTCAGGGCTCCTGACCAGATGTGGCAAGGTCTCTTGCCTGTTACGTCTCTCGTCTGGGAAGGTTCACACTTTAAAAGACAAGCATGCAGAATGTCCCCAATGACTGTTTGGGGCTCTTGGATTATTTTGATCCTTTTTAAAAAATAACACCTGTTTCAGGCCTTATGAAGTCATCACTGTAGAAACAGATTCTATTTCCAAAGTAGTCAGGTGACCTTTGATTCCTGATTACTGTCAAATCAACACTTTGGTTTTATATTCACTCAGCAAGTATCCACCAGATGCCTCCCCTGCACCATCATCTTCTAGGTGCTGGGGATGCAGCAGTGAACAAAACAGACAAACCCTGCCCTCATGGCTCTATATTCGGGGTGGGGAAAATCCAATAATAAAGAAGATAAGTTAAAAAAAAATGTTAGATGGTTCTGCACCTTCAGAAGAAAAGGAAAGGGAGGAGGGAGAGGAGCTATGACTTGCGGGGACAGGGAGGGGTTCACTTTCAGATGGGCCGGTCCGGAAGGGCTCAGAGGAAGTGACCTGTGAGGACAGACCGGGAGGAAGTGGGGAGGAAGCAATGTGGGTGCCTGTGTGGAAGAGCTTCCAGCCAGTGGCCAGAGCAAGCGCAAAGGCCTTGAGGCCGGCATGTGCCCGGCGGCCCTGAGTCCTGAGGGGCCCGCTGTGGTTGGAGGGGAGAGAAGGGGGTGGCAGCAATGGGAGATCGAGGTAAGGAGTGGGCACATCACGCTCAGCATGGGGCTCTTGTTGGAGATGGAGAGCTCGGAACAGGAGCCACCTGATGTGATGGGCACTCTGGCTGCTGTGCTGAGCATGGCTGGGAAAGACCAGGGCGAGCCGGGGAGACAGGGGAGGTGTGAGAAGTGGTCAAACACGGACGCTTCCGGGAGGGAGTGCAGGGCCTATGGAGAGACCAGATGTGGGTGTGGGGAGCCTTGGGCGATGCAGGAAGCCCGCAGCGGGAGCTGACGGAGGGCCCAGCTTTGAACACGGTATTTAGCGTTTTCTCCAAATGAGACCCCTCCTTGAGATCCTGTGCGTGGTGCTGGGGTAACGTCTGTTCACCCCTGTCGCCGGGGACGTGGATCTGCCTGCATCTTCATAGACCTTCTGTTAGACGTGAGATGGAGGGGCAGAAACGAAGGCATCCAGCACCGACCAGAGAGGCCTGGGCGCAGGTCCGCCAGCCGGGACACCCCGCCTCCGCACGGCTCTAGGGGACAGCGCTCTGCTCCCAGGCCCTGCTCTCACGTGGATGGGGAGAGGCTCTGCGCTTCCCCGAAACAAGCGGGGGTAGATCGCCGTCTGGTCTGGGGGTGAACTGCAGAGCCCCGAGTTTCCTTTCTTAGTGAAAGTGGCTAAAAAAGAGCAGAGGCCGCCCACAGGTCGGGGCATCAGATCAGGGGGACAGAGGCCACCTCTGTCCGGCCTGACGGGCTGGGGTCCTGTCCTCCCCCGTCACAGCCCAGCCCCGCCCCCATGCATGGCTTCCCTGGAGGGGGTCCTGCCCCTTCTGATGGGGAGAGGGGCAGTTTTCACTTCTCTGGGGCATTTTGGATGATCTTTCTGATTCACAGACCTATTTTTGAATCTATTCCATATATAGGGCTGCTGGGCGCTGCCGTCCCCCCGGGTCTGGTACTGGCACCATCCGCCTCCTGGGAGCCGGCTGTCTCCTCTCTTCCTAAGGTTTTATGTTTCTTTCCCAGACTCACACCCTGCTGTCGCTCAGGCTTTGTTCCGAGTCCCCTGTCCGGGCTCTCCTTCCTCCGTAAGTGACGGTGTGCTCTGTGGTCCCATGGTCTCATCCGTCAGAGCTCTGGCCGTGCCGTGGGCCCAGGTGACTCGGGCTAACTCCCAGTCAGAGGAGTGGCCAGAAACTCACAGAGGTTGTTCGTTCTGGAGCTTCTAGGCCTCGCTTACTTCCCACCAGATTTCCAAGGGGAAACTTGGTTCTGCATCTCAGCACCGGGACCGGC